CTTAAGACCTTTTTCTTCTAAAAGCTGCTGTAGTATACTCGCTGGAGTGTTAGCTTGGTGCTGAAAGTTGAGTTACAGACTAGAGAGTTTGTGTTAATACACAGTTATTTCTTAATTTGGTCATACCCTTCCTTTGACATATAGTGACAGTCTGGCTCTACCAAGGCCAGTGTAAGTTTTCTGTAGAAAGTAGTAAGTAACTGCATGAAGACTTTGAAAGCCCTTTAGGAATTTAGGCACATTCTTTTTATGAATTTCCATCGGCAGCTTTGTAGCCAAGTGCTGTAGTCACTTTTGAAAGTTTCATCCAGAATATTTAGGTTTGTGAATGCTGAAGTCCCAGCTGTGCAAAGTGAAGATATGAGTCATTCCCTATCCATGCTTGACAGTTCCACTGGCTGATGGCCTCAGGCCATTGGTTTGCACTAATGATGGTCTGGGAAGGTAAATAGCCCCCCCCCCCCTTAAATGATGGTTTATTCCTTCTAAAGCATGAGAAGATATTTGCAGAGACTCAGCTGACATAAATGAGTTCCTTCTGCTTGTGTCCAGTTATGCTGGGGTGAAGGAAGTGACTGTTTATTCTAATCCAGAGCTGAGGATTCCCTATTCCTGGGAATAAATTGGTATTAGAACAGATATTCTGTGTGTGTATATTCTGTGTATAACAGGTTTTATACATTGATACATAAGGAAGCACATGAATTTCATGTATGCTTTCATCTGTTGAACTGCGTAACACTCTACATTACAGTTTAAAATTCTCAGGAGCAGGTTCTGGCCTCCAATTTTTATAGACTGAAAAGCTTTGGATAGATTATTGAGAAGAAAGCGGACTTGAGAAAATGAAAGAACACAGAGTGGTCTTAAGAAGATCATCCAGAAACTCTTTTTTGTCTGTCCTGTCAGAACAGGAGAGCATTCAGTGGATTTGAACACAGACAAATTTCAGAACTGTTAAAAGGGAATGGTTCTTGTATACGGCATGGACAGTACACCTGTGAAACTCATTGCTGCGGAAGGCTATTAAGAATATAGCAAACTTAAAAAGAAATTGGATAGTAGCAGGGTTATTATGATACCCAGAACTATAATAATTAATGCTGTCAAAGTCTGAAAGAGATACTGTGTTTTGAGCTTTGGGGCACAGGGTAATCTCTGCCTGACAGATACCGAGATGAGACTTAGGGAAAGATGATGTCATGTCTACCTTGCATATGCTCTTATGCTACAGTCTAAACTTACTATGCTGGCAGTATACAAAACTATTTGAACCTGTTGTCTGACTACTTGTATCAATTACTGTATACAGAGTCCTTTAAAACATACATCCGTATCAACAGGAGTGATAGTCATCTAAACCACTGTATTTAACTGCATTAAGTCAGGAGTAAATGCAGCATGGTTGGATATCTTTGTAATTGTGTAGGTGTCAAAATGCTACTGACCTGTATAAATGGTCTCACACTACACTGAGCATACATACTGAGCATATATGTCTGTTAGGGTGCATAGTGGTTTTTAAAATAAGGGTATTTTTCAGTACAGGTTTTGCTGCTTAGTCTTATTGCTTCATTGGTTAAGTCCAGTGTATCACATTTTGTAGATGTGAGGTCGTATGCTACTGTCTGCTTTTTTCAAACAGAGCCATTTCTCAACTACTGTGTATTTTGCTGTGGAGCAGTCTGGATGTCACTGGAAGTAAAAGCCAAAATGACTTTGCAGTTGAAGTTCATTTACTCAGTATATCCAACCAGAAAAAATTAATCCCAAGGTAATTATTGTATGTGTTTCCCACCCACCTCTTATGACTGGGAAAGGGAGTAAAAAAGTACACATGCAATAATGTGATCATTCTATTCTATTCTTTTCTTTTCTTTTCTTTTCTTTTCTTTTCTTTTCTTTTCTTTTCTTTTCTTTTCTTTTCTTTTCTTTTCTTTTCTTTTCTTTTCTTTTCTTTTCTTTTCTTTTCTTTTCTTTTCTTTTCTTTTCTTTTCTTTTCTTTTCTTTTCTTTTCTTTTCTTTTCTTTTCTTTTCTTTTCTTTTCTTTTCTTTTCTTTTCTTTTCTTTTCTTTTCTTTTCTTTTCTTTTCTTTTCTTTTCTTTTCTTTTCTTTTCTTTTCTTTTCTTTTCTTTTCTTTTCTCTTCTTCCCTCTCCTCCCCTCCCCTCCCCAGTTCTGGTGGGCAAAAAGCTGGACATGAGCCAGCAATATGTGCTTGCAGCCCAGAAAGTCAACTGCATCCTGGGCTGTATCAAGAGAAGTGTGACCAGCAGGTTGAGGCAGATGGTTCTGCCCCTCTACTCCACTCTGGTGAGACCACACCTGCAGTGCTGCATCCAGCTCTGGGGCCCTGAGCACAGGAAGGACATGGACCTGTTGGAACGGGTCCAGAGAAGGGCCACAAAAATGGTCGGAGGACTGCAACACCTCTTCTATGAGGACAGGCTGAGAGAATTGGGGTTGTTCATCCTGGAGAAGAGAAGGCTTTGGGGAGACTTTATTGAGGCCTTTCAGTACTTAAAGGGGTCTTGTAAGAGAGATGGAGAGAATCTTTTTAGCAGGGCCTGTTGCGATAGGACAAGGAGTGATGGTTTTAAACTAAAAGGGGGCAGATTTAGACTACATATAAGGAAGAAATTCTTTACAATGAGGGTGTTGAAACCCTGGAACAGGTTACCCAGAGAGGTGTAGAAACCCCATCCCTGGAAACATTCAAGGTCCTTTTGGACGGGGCTCTGAGCAACCTGATCTAGCTAAAGATGTCCCTGCTTACTGCAGGTATGTTGGACTACATGATCTTTAAATGCCTCTTCCAACCCAAACTATTCTATGATTCTGTTATAATTCTGTAGGAACTAGAGCCAGGACCAGAGGAATTAAACTTCAGTTGCCTACCCTGTAAATAAACAGACCACAGGAAGACAATGTCTCAGAACTTAGCAGCTATTAAAGGAGGGCTTTAAGGGACCAAAGTTGTTTTTATTTTTGCTTACATGAGAGGATCATGTGAAACAATGTGTTAGTAGGAGCTGTGCAGGCTTGCACAGTGAGACACTAATCTGTCATGTAGACTTTGTCCCAAGTGCTAGGGCCAGGAAGAAGTGGGGAGCCTTAATCTCTTCACACGTTCAGGTCTGTCAAGAGTAGTTGGAATGGTTTTGAGAGGTGGTGTTGAAGTGTAACTTTATAAAGCAAATGATCTCATTACTTCTCTCCTTGTTCCCTAATCAGCATACTTAATATCCAAATGTTCCCTAAGATTAGTTTTATTTCCTGCTCGGCTATTGACAGACACTGCTGAGATTTGAATCCACAGCAGGCGAGAACAGATGGCTACCTTTGCTAACAGATTACTGCATCAAGGCGTACAAACTGTCCAGCTCTGTCTCAATAAACTTCAACGTATGATTTATAAAGTGAACATAATAGAAGAAATCCATGATGCCTACAATGGGAATCATATTACAGTACTACTTAAAGCACTGGGAGAATTGCTTAAGCAGTTATTATATACTTGTACTGATCATCAAATCTTATTAGGCAAGAAAGCATTGCCTGGAAAATTGTTTGTCTTCTCTTTCATATTACTTCCTCTCATTTAAGTTTTATTGAACTAATTAAACTTAAAGGGAGATTTCCAATTCATATAGCTTCTATTTACATTCTAGCAAACATACTAACGGGTTCACACTGATTTGATGATTAATTGCTTGTATGGGAGTTTTTACGTAAGCAAAAAAGTCTGTGCTAAACTTCTACACCTGCAAGTCCATGATGAAACTGCTGTACTCTTAACTAAAACACAATACAAACAAAAAAAGAGAACTGTTGTTTAAGAAAAAGAAAAGTCATTGCAAGATCATGCATATATATCCAGCGCAGCAGATAAGCTTGATTATTTCAGATGATAAATTGTGAGTAAAACTTGCCTGGAACAGCTGATGAGAAATGCCTCATAAAGGAGGCCAAGGTTTTTTACAGAGTGTAGCAGCTCCAAATGATGGCACAGTATCTTTTAGGAAAGATATGATATTTCTAGCATGTTGCATAATTACTTGCTGTGTAAATAAATATGAAATGTCAGGTCCTCTGTGCCTGAAGTCTGTTGGCATTATTTTTGAAGAGGGTCAGTCTATAAATCTTTGTATTTTTGTAAGCATTCAGCATATGTTTGCTCTTCGGGAAGCTCCTGTTGCTTTGGGTGCTGAAGAATGAGATACAGAGTGGTTTATAGGTCTGTGAGATGGAGGTGCAGTCCTGATTCTTGCAAAGTCTGGGCTTGTTTCCTGGTGAGTGGTACCATCTCACTGCTTTTTTTCTTTCCAGAGGGCAATAGTGATTTTTGCTGAAGTGCCTTGGATAGCAGCTTTGTGCAATTGCTAACCCTCTGTTCTACCCTTTCTCTCCTTTGGTTTGACCTGTTCAGTGCTGTTTCCATCACTTTGTACTTAAGATCTGCTTTCTGTGAGCTGTATCTGTATGAGAGGGAGAGCTGCAATCTCATATGTGATACTGGAGGCTAATGGGATTGTCCCGTTAAGTGTTTTTGAGAACAGTGGCACTACCAGAATGTCAGAAGATAGAGGTTGCTTTGCAGTTGTTACAAAGAGATGGATAAAATTTCCTGTTTTAAAGAATAAGGGAGGGTTTTTTTTTTTCATTTTGAAGTTAAAAACTGAAGTTTGCATAACTTCTGTTTGTCCACCTGAAACATTTCCCTGTATAATTAGTTGCATGTTTTTCCACATGCAGTTGTGTTTTCTTAGGAAGTGATGCAGAGAAGGCACAGAAAAACGTTACACAGCAGCTTAAAGATTGTACTTACATGTTTCCAAAGATGCTGTTTGTACTCCCTGGCTGAATAGTAACTGACCACAGTGAATATCTGATTTAGCGGTGGTTTTGCTTGCATTTATACAGCTTGCTTAGAATCAAGTGGTGTCTATTTCTGTCAAATACAAATGCATGTGAGGTTTTTTTGTTGCTGTTTCTATCGTAGACTTGCCCTCAGCGAACTTAAGCAATTACAACATCACCGTGGTGGAAGGAAAGAGCATCACATTGTACTGTGATACTACTGGCGGGCCACCCCCTAATGTGTCCTGGGTGCTCACTAATCTTGTTTCAAACCATGAGGTAAGCTTCGTATTCAAATACAGGACAATTCAGAGACAGAAGATAGCTGCTGGAGGATCAAATGAAGGTTCATGTACAGCTCTAGTTAACTTTATTTTAAAAAGATGAAATAGAAAATTAATGTTGGAATTATGTTTATTTTTCAATTACTTTCAATTCATGTTGACTGCCATAGTGTTTTTGGAGAATGGCAGACATTCACTCCTAAAGACCCTGATTTGCAATCTGATTTTTGCATGTTCACTTGTAAATGAGAGTACTGTAAATTTTTGGAATTAATGTGGTAAATCAGGATACTAAAACACAAGGGCTTTCTTATTATCACTGATACCTGCATAAAGAGAATAAATCTAATCTACCCTACTCATGAAAAAATCTTTGTGTATCTAATTTTACTATATTTTCATGCCAAAGCTTGGTGTGTTGGAGTTTGGTTGTAAATATTTTGTGTCTTGTTTAATTTTCCTTCAACAAACAAAGCAACAACAGAAAGCCTTGGAAATTGAAGTGAAGGTTTTACTGAAAAGAATGGCAGTGGTTTTTTAGTGAAATGTGAAGATGTTTCCTCAATAAAATATCTAGGCAGGGGGAATTTTGTTTTCTGAGATCTTTGTATTCTGTGTCCCTCCTATAGACTGTGTGCACACTGGAGATAGAATGATTAAGTTCTTTCTGATGTAAGTGTTGATAAGGAGAAGCATATAAGCAGATTCTCAACTTGCAGCTGCTGACCTCTTAAATTGTCATTATTTACAGGGTGGGCAAGACCCTCTCTTAGCTACAGTTTTATGGCATTGGCTTTCCTACATTCATTATGGTGCAGATTGCCTAAAGCTTCCTGGTCTGTACAAAGTGCGGGATGTGTACTTCCAAAACTATTCATACAGTGTGGAAGAGACAGGACCTCTGGGGTCTCGTAATCTTTGTGCTTTGTTCTATGAGGTCATTATATCAGGCCTGTATAGAATTTGACTAGCGTGCCATTTAGCTTTCATAAGTAAGAGCTCTGCAGAGCTCTAGTCTTATTTTTAAAATTTTCTCTAATCTGTAAAACTACCCAAAGGCATCAGTCGTCATCAGGAACAAGAAATTAAAACCGTTTGGGGAACCTATGCCAAGTTGTTCGCTTTATTTTTCTTTTTGTGTTTTTTTTTGGTGGTTGGGGTTTTTTTGGTTTTTTTTTTTGGAGTTATGAGCCAGAACAAATGTGGGATGCTATTCAAAAAGTGAGATCACCTCATTTTTTAACCCTCCTATCTTTGAAATGCCATGGTCAGTTTGCTTCAGGCTTTCCAGAAATATTCTGTCCTGGCATAACTTCATTTTGGGATTTCAGAGGGGCTCCTAATACAGGCTAGCTACAACCTTAGCCATGGAGCACAGTAGTCTTTTCAGTAGCAGAAGAATGAGTGCCTTTTAAACCTCGTTTGCCATTCACAACGATCCTTCCCTTTTCTGTGAATGTTGTTATTGGTTTCCTTTCTCTCACTTCCATATCTCAGTTTCTGCCTCCCTTTTCTTCACCTCCCATGCTGCTTTTGCCTGTTTTCTCTCCGCTTCCTGTTTTATGAAGAGAGACGTGAACAAAAGTTAAAACTAAACTCTAGTCCTGCAAAGCTAACTGTATGCTCTCAGTTTCTATGCTGATGTATAATCCGATTGATGTTGGTTAGATTTTTCTTGCTCTAGATTTCGGGCCTGAGCCTGAGATTGAGCTGCTCTGCTTTCGGTAGAGCTTTGAGCACTGCCTCCCTCTGAGAGTTGCGCATAGAGAAATGTGTAATGAGGTGTTTGCCTCTCCACTCATCTACCCTAGTGTCACAGTGAAATCAGAGGGACATTTAACTCGAGTGGACTTAAGGTGTCATCTTGAGGTTCAAAATTCTGGTCGCACAGGACTGTATTCCACAGTGTTCCCATGTGTCCCCATTGACTGCCACTGAAAGTCAATGGTTTGTGGTTTTACAGATGCAGTATGTTATTTGTGTTCTGTGCAGCACTGATATGTGTGTGTACACTAAGAAAAGTACCTCAAAAGTAGTTTTTAAAAATGCACCTAATTATTGTTTATTTTCTGAATGTGTTTTGGTTCCTTTCCTGTTTAAGAATTTTATGAAAAATTCAAGTGTGGAAATAGTAATTATTTGGACATCATGTGAAGGGCGTGAGATCACATGAGGGGCTGCATGTTCAATATAGCATTTAAGGCTGTAGATGGGCACTTTCTAAGAATCATAAGATTCAAGTTTTCTAAGAATCATAAGATTCAAGTTTTCTAAGAATCATAATTCTTAATTAGCCTGTGCTTAAACGCATAGAACAGTACTTGAGCAGCATCTTAGGTAGCAGAAGGTACGTAATTTCTCGTGCAAGATTTTGTGAGAAGATGAAGCTTTGAAGAGAAATTTGGCTAAGGAGGAGGGAGAAGACACATTTCTGTCGACGTACAGTACAGCTCAAAAGGCAGCAGTGGAAGAGTTATCAAGCATAAATATTAAGGAAAGAGACAAAAGGAAGAGTAAAGCAAGGATTGAAAAGAATATAGGAGAGTTAAGAAAAAGTTCAAGGGGAGCAGAGACAGACGATAGAAATCAGTCATGAAGTAGAAGAGAGGGTTGAGCAAGGGTATGGGTAGAGAAAAAACCATTTGTGTAGAGGGGAAGAAGTTTTCAAAAAAAAGGCAGAAACTAAAAGTGACAGGACAGAAAAATGGTTGAGTGCAGTGTTTGTAGCAGGACTTTTGGAGTTTTGAATCCACTGCCATTGATGGTTACGATTGGTTCTCTAGGTATTTTGTGTCTGTTTGGATAAGACACTAAAAGAAGGTGTTGATTAATTGTGGACTGATACAGTTAAGAGGAAGGGAAAATGAAAAATGCCATTCAGCTGTGACCAATGGTTTCCTCCCTCTGCCTTGTTTTTCATGCTGCGGTTCACGCTTACATCTTACTGTGATCGTTTGTAGAGTGACACAAGTAAGAACCCTGCCTCGCTAACCATAAAGAATGTTTCATCCATGGACAGTGGACTGTGGATTTCCTGTGTAGCAGAGAACATTGTGGGAGAGGACCAAGCCTCTGCTGAGCTCACCGTATTCTGTACGTATGCAGGCCTTCATACAATGCAGCCAAACTGCATTGTCAGCAACTGTTTTGGGTATAAATATTTTTTGGGCATGCAGGTTGTTGAAAAAAACCTGCTTAAGGCATGTGAGCTATCTACTGCAGTTAATGCTGGGAGTAGCCCAACCAGCAGTTTTCAGCCTTGTGTTTTTGAAAGAAATGTATTTCTGAATGCTCTATCTTCCAAATAGAACGATCTGTAAGTAAAGTCCTGAAACCCAAAACACTCAGTGGCACTATCAGTGTGGGAAAGTTTGTAATGGTGTGCATTGTACATATACTTTATGTACAAATACACTGTCTTAGGAATGAAGATGTGTGAGTGCATCAAAAGGCTCGTAGAACTAATTATGAGAGACTACAAAATGTTTAAGTTCTTACTAGCTAAAGCAACAACAGCTTTGTTAAAAATATAACACACTTGCAACGTTCGTGCTGCCAGATGTAAGTTTATTTGTCATAGCTTTGAATAATACACTTACTTGTCAGGGCCAAGGAAGGGGGAAGGGACATCTAGTGTAGAGGCACTGGCTTCTTAGATCTAAGCTCCAGCCTGAATTCATTTTATATGAACTAGACAGCATGTTTTCACAAGTTTCAACCCTCTGTTTAATTGAAGATGGGAATGGAACGCTTTGTAGATGGCAAACTTTGTTCAGCATGTGCTGATGACAGAGTAAACTAGAAAAATCACTGTAGATGTAGGTTTGTAGGTTGAAATTGGATATGTAATAGCTATGGGAAGGGACATAAACTAGAAGTGTTTGAACAGTGTAGATGAGATTCTGAGCTTGGCACCGTTATGAGTGATAAAAGGGAGTATAAATAGATGAAATTGGATGCAGTTAAGAATAAATATCAAGGAAAATTTCCCAATAGTGAAATAATGGGCAAGGTGTTGGAATAATCTCCTGAGGGAAACAGAACAAGTCTGTAAACTTGAGGCATTTAGCAGGTTTGAACAAAGAATGAGAAAACGTGTAGCAGAAAATCGTCTTTCCCTGACAGAAGAATCCGGGGCACTAAGTCATCTGTTCTGGATTTGGTTCTGTGAAGAAAATAATCTGAAAGTTTGGATTTCTAGCTGAATATATTTCCAGTACTACTTGTTTTTGGCCAGCTTTTAAATATTTTCAATACTGCTTTGTTCTTTCAGCACTCCTCTGCACAATTGTTTCAGCAGAGTAAAGCTAAAATGTCTCTCTTCCTCTTCTTAGTGATCCGATAACTGAACTTCCCACACCCTACAGGGTTTAAGTGATTTAACAAGTGTTCAGTCAAACTGAAACTAGTTTGTTTTGTTTCTTTCTAAAGAATGACTTCAGTTCAGTTGTGAGCATAGTACCCTAGGCAGAGCAGGAGGATTCCTGTGTGAGTGTCCTCCACATAGGTGTCATTACTACTAATAACATACTTTTGTACTGATGTTTGAAAAATACTTCTCTGATAACTTTGGGGGAAGGAAGGGAAGATATGTTCGGAATATTCTGATGTTCTTCACTCTTTTTCCCAATATAGTTGCACCAAATATCACGTTTATTGAATCTCCAACCCCGGACCACCACTGGTGTATTCCATTCACTGTGAAAGGGAATCCTAAGCCCACATTGCAGTGGTTCTATGAAGGGGCTATACTGAATGAGTCTGAATACATCTGTACTAAAATACATGTTATCAATCAAAGTGAATACCATGGCTGCCTTCAGCTGGACAATCCTACCCACCTGAATAATGGTGCTTATACCTTACTGGCAAAGAATGACTATGGGGAGGATGAAAAACGGGTTGATGCTCATTTCATGTCAGTGCCTGGAGATGGTGAGTTGAATTTTTTTTTTTTCGTGTTAGCAATTGCAAATTGATGAGACTGTGGAAACAGTGTCCTGGCCAGTTTAACTATTTTGGAGGAAGCTTTTTGTGTGTTTTTTTTTTTTTCCTCTGAATGAATGTCTTCAAGATTAGTTGTAAAATAATGTTTTTCTTGAGCATTTTCTTCTTGTTCATTGCTCCTCAAGCGAGGCTGTGCTAGTGCTCTGTAAATCTTCCCTTTGAGTAACCATACTTGATGCCAGCTAAGGCTAGTAAAAGATTGCTGTTTCTGAAGTGTTTTCTCAAGCCTCAGTTCTGATCCTGGAAAGCACTGACTGCCAATTCAGCCACTCTGTAAGTTTTATGCACTGCATATGAATGCAACTAGGTGGTGTATCCAAGGACACAGGGGATGCCTATGGAGCATCTAGGGCCTTGTTGCAAAATCAATAGAGCAGTCCAGTGAGTTGATAATATGTTGTTTAGGACACTAGAGGGAGCAGGAGAGAAAACAAGTAACCCAGAGGCAAGATGGACAAGTTCTCAGGTCCTCACAGGCATTTTGATGTCCAATTCCCATTCATTCCGGTGGAGATTGGACACCTGCATGCCTAGGAATATACGCGCTCAAGGTGGTTGCTCTTAAATATATGCATCTTCAGTAGTTCTAAAGGCTCCCCTTCAGCCCTCCTAAATGCTGTGTGAGCAGGCTCAAGGTGGACTAACTCATTGAACTGCAGGGTGTCACTGTAAGTGATTGATGTTTTCTGTGGTTTGATCTTTTCCCACATCTTCAAAACCATGTGTGAAGTGACTGTGGAAGTAAGAAGGCATACGTGTAAACATACTGCTCTGTGTGGAGAAAACTCTTGAGTGGACCTTGCGCAGCTGGAGTGCAAATAAAGCCATGTTTTTGTGCAAATAATTGCACAGTCATATCTGAAAATATAAGCATATGCATACCTTTGGCTTTTAAGCCATGGGATATAAATAGCTTTCTTCTTTTTTGAAACAGCAATATGCAGTGCTAATGTTATCTGGCAGAAAAAAAAAAAGTGAATATTTAAATTCTGTCTTCTACATTGCAGGCTACAGACAGTAAAAATATGGTCTGTATTTTTTCCCTATCAGCTTGGTCTGCTGTAGGGAGAGAAATGGCAGGTCTTTTGCTTTCCCACCCTTAGAAGGAGAAAGTGAAGAGCTGATACAACCAGGCTTCATTTCCTCTTTCTGTCCTTAGTGCTCCTCTCCTTTTTCTCTGGAGTTCTTCCTTAAATAGACTCATTACAGAAACATGCCATGGTTTCAGCTGCTGCCATCCTCTAACCCTGCATTATAATTGTTCAGTAGAACAGTTCACCTGATAGATGTTCTGTGTACAATGGGACTTCTCTTACACCCTGATTATTTAATATGAACCTGGCTTCATTTTCTTAAAGGAATAAGAGTTCCTGTAATACATTTAGGTGAATTTATAATTTTTTGTCTTTGATCCAAATCCCTTTTACTGTTGTGTTTTTCCTTTATGCTTCCCCTGTACACTGAAGATTTCCCAGTTGTGGCCTCTTAAATCGATAAGTAGAACTGTAGGTATCCTCCAAATTGGAAAGACAGCATTATTTATTTGTTCCAGCCTCTTTATATTCATAAGGAATGTAAGTCTCCCAAGCTAATGTGTGCTATGTTTTTTAAGCATTTCCCAAGATCTGTGATGGATTAAGCTTAACAAAAAGAGTATAGAGGAAACTGGACTATGTATAGACAGGATGTAACTGCATTAGACATCTTTTCATGCATAGTGGATGGCACCAAACCAGTCTTAAAAATTAACAACAGGGGAAATTACTTATCTACTTAGACTCCTCAATACAGGTTCTATTTTTTCCTATAAGACCACTGAGCTTTAGAAGACATCACAACGTTGTTGTCTTCTACACTGAAGTTGGCATAAAGTAAATGTTAAAAAACTAGAATCGTCTGTGCATTGTATTACAATTTTCGTTGTAAACTATTACTATTTAAAGCACTGTCAGGCTTTTTCAAAGCCTTGAAAGGCTTTTTCAATGCTGTCGTTACTGTGTAGTTTCTTCTTTTGGCCCACATATTGTACAATGAAGCATAAAGATTAGGGGCCACGCCCTGGTATTATGTTCATTTCCATGCCTTCATGACTGAATTAAATACCATCCCTGATGTTTCATGGGGTGGGGTATGCTCACCAAGCTTTAAACTGATTCTTTGGTTATTGCATCACTTACGGGTAAATGCTCAGAGGGTAAAAACAACAGAAAATGAAAAAAAACCCGCCTCACCTATAATCCATATGTCTATCTAAATTAAATACAACTTAAGTCTGAAGCATGTTCTGTCATTAACACTGTAATACTCCACTTTCAAAGTTACATCAAATATGATGAAGACATAATGTCTAAGATGCTCTCAGCTTCCAGCATGATACTCACAGAATATTTTTCACTGGTCCGAGCATGCAGGCATAAAGGAGAGGAAAGTACATACCACAGTGGTATTTGGATTGAGTTAATAACAACACAGTTAATGATGTAAATTAAGACTTTATTTTAAATATGGGGGCCTGGAAGAATAAATTTCATATTCTATTAGCTAGATTTTTAACTGGCTTTAATCTGCTAAAGTTCTTGGAATCCTGTGAAGCCGTTCTTGCTGAGAATGACTTGATTATTTGAGACTACGCTGCAGCAAACAGTAAGCAAGAAATGTTCATGTTTTGTGTTGGAGGCTGTTCTCATAGTTGATCCAAAACAGCTAATGGATGTGGGAGAGATTTTTACCAATAATAAGTATTTTTAATTAAGCTTATTCATCTACCAGCTCTCTAAAATTCAGCTGAAGGAAGTTATACAGTATCTTGTAAAGTAAAAGAGTATGTTAAATATGCCTCAGAAGTAGCATTTTGCTTGTGCAGCATAACAACATGGAGCTTTTTTTGCAGATGTATGTTTTTGGATTGAGACTTCTGCTGCTGCTTTGCTTTGAAAATGTCAACTTTATAAAGAAAGAAGTGAGCAAACCAAGTGTAGTTGATGTAGTTTATAAAGACAAGTGAATCGGTTAAGTCTCTTAATAATTCATTCATACAACAGCCTGTTCTAACAGGGACCAAAACAGCAATGCTAGTCTGTTTGCTTTAAAAATAATTGTGTGTAAACGTGTAGAATTACAGTGGTGAAGTTTAATGTTAAAATAGCTTCATCTGACGTTTTGATGATTGAGTAGATACGTTTTTATGTAGGAAACACTGCAGAGAAATTTGGGTTTCATCCAGCATCTTGATTTTTGCCACTGCATTAGAAGTATTTAGTTATATAAAATGTATTTGTAAAGACTTCCTGGTTCATATCCCTGACAAGAGTTAGGAGTTAAACTAATCTGATTACTTTATCCCAATTCCAGTAAACAGTAACAAAAATGTTGAGATTTAACTCGGGAATAAAGGCCTGGGAATTTTTTGCTTGTTTGGTTGGTTGGTTGGATTTTTCCCTTCAGATTACATGAGGTAAATTAGAAATACTGTCTTTCAGCAGCTGGATGTTTTATAGTGGGAAAACTGAATCCATGAACTTTTATGGACAGAAAACCCTGGTCAGAAGTTGTTTGAGGACAGATAGTACAAACTTTCTTCACTTGTTACTTATTTCTGCAGATTGACATGAGAGTTCTCATGGGGTCTGTTAACCTATGTCTCTGGATACTAGAATATCTTCAAATGCATTTTAAAATAAATCTAAGTATCTGCTTTCATTCTGCAAATAGGTTGCAGTTCTGTTAGTATTTTCAGAACAGATTCTCACGCTGTTGACATAAGCAAAAACAGTGATGTTCTGGTCATACTTCACAGTGGCTTTATGCCAGTGTAATGCCACTGCTAGGGATTTACTGTATAGTACTATAAACAGAATTGTGCTTTTTGAAATTTGATTAATCTCTAGACATTTTAACTGTCTGTTAATTTTATTTACAAACCAACAAAAAGAAAGTGTAAAAATATGGAAGAGATGACTTAGTAGCTTACTATATAAGCTATGCTATAAATACATTATAGACCAGAATGAACTGTTGTGTTGAAATACAACACAAGTATCTTTCAAAGCATGAATAGTCTAATAGTACGCTAATTTCAGTGGGCATTCTGTGCATTATACTCACATATGTGCTCACCCTTACATATGTGCAGTGACTAGAAAAAGCTGCAAACTGGAACTAGTAAAATTTAGAAGAGTTTAGACTAGATGGCTATGCATTTGCTTGTGTAAATGCTGACTTCTGAGACATTTGACTCTTTTGGTAAGAGTTCTGTCTGTGTTACCAGCTGTGCAACTGGCTTCTTGGAAGCATATTTTTACAGAGCAAGTGAAACGGTGCTGCTTAGGTCATTGCTGCCTCTAGCCCTTGCCAGCTCACAGCTAAACCAGTTTTCTCTCACAGTGATTTAATAGCAGAATTTTTTGACCAGGTAAAAGTCAGTTATTGTTAATGTTCACTGAAGTCTGCTTCTACTTAAAGTCAGGGAAAATTTTGCGATTGATTTTTCAACAGGAATAGTTATTGTTGCATTTGTTCCAGATATATATTAACAGCAGAAAGCAGAATTTTGCCCAGTTGGGAAATATGCCTGCCTTTGCCAGAGTTAGTGCCCTGTGCATTAGCTGTTCCACATGAAGCAAGATATTAACCTTTGTGATAGCTCTAAAATGGTTGTCAATGTGATCTGATAAACAGGTACTGCGATATATTGGTGTTGCTTTGCATTTGTGTAGGTACAGGTCGTTGCTATTGCAAATAACATGTCAACTCTTAAAAAAATTCCTAAAGAAACTCTTATTCTTCCAGAATTTGCAGTCTATTTACAAAACTTTTTCTTTTTCTCTTCTCCACACACAGGTAGTGGCCCAATTGTGGATCCAGACGTTTATGGTATATATTTGATTTCCTTTTTCTTTTCTTTTAATGATAGAAATGAAGGAACTGAAACCATTAAAAGATAGAATATCAGCCTCAGTTAAATTGAAATGGCACATATTATAACAATTCTAAGAAGGTACTTGGTATTTTTTGTTCTTCTCCTGCCTTGTATTATTTAAGATACATAAGGGCAATATGACGTTTTACTGACTGCTGCTTTTGATTCACATTAGGAGAAGCATAAATCCACTGCTACAAATGGTTGCAGTTGATCCTGTAGGATGACAGCTGTCTGATGTAGCTCACAAGCATGAGATTTTGTGAACCTTTAGGAGGCATTTCTTGCAGGAAAGAGAGTTCGTGATTTCTCCTTATGTAACTTAATTTATTTTTTCAGGGATGACTCCATACTTGTTTTGCCTCCAAAAATGTACCCCTAAATCCCATTTAAAAATGAGGTTGGCACAAGTAAGTTTTCCTGTAGGCAATTTATTTTGCTCTGTCCGCTGATTTGTACCTTCCCTTAATCTCTCTTGCATAAGCAGACCATCAACTTGGTGATATCTGAGTGTGTGCCAGAAGATTTGATGACACAGTGTTCACATTAGTTTTTTAGTTAGGCGAAATGTTTTGGTCTGTACCTAGTGAAAGCCACCGTGCACTAGAAGAGAAACTGCAGAATGAAAAGCAAATGCCTAGTTTTACATAATACTTCTGGTATACTTCTGGTGAGTAGGAAAGTCCATCCTAACCAACATACCCAAACACCCTTTATCTTCCAGCAGAAACTAGATCATGTTTGGAGTACTTTTTATGTGGGTGAAGTGGCCCATGACTCAAGTTTCCTTAACCTGATTTAAATATTATTGCTTTGATTCCATTCCATGTCATTAAACTTTAGCAAATGTGCAATTGAAGCATCAGTTTGGCTTTAAGTGCTTAGTAATACTAAAGGATAGCTTCCCCTCCCTCTCTTCCCCGAATCTTTTGGGGGTGTGAAGGTGGTGCTGCTTTGCACAATTTCTTACATGTGTTGTATTATATAAGCTGTATGCATGAAGATTTTTGATTCCAAGCTGTATATCAAGGTCCTGATGCCTGTGTATGGCTTTAACCATGTGAGTGCTGTGCTTCGATTGACTTGGGTAGGTTTCTGCTGGGACGTGCGCTTCAGGTTGTGCTAGCAGATCACAGCCTGCAAGACCTAGTCCTGATGAAAGGAGCTTTCCTTTTTGTTCCTGGCATTTCTCTCTGCTGTTTGAAACTGCCGTCTTTGATCTTTGTTTCAGTGACTCAGAGCTTGCTTTGAGAAACACTTTGTAGTCCAGAGTGTTTCCCTAATTATTCCAAATTCACAAGTCCAGTTAGTGAGGTGAATAAATGAGGCTGGCTGGAAAGTCTAGGAATGGCTACACTTCTTCAGAGAACCACTCCCTGCATGGTTGACAGTAGGACCCCGGGAGGAGCTCCCCCCAGAGACTAAACGGTTTTTGTGACTTTTCTTCAGACCGCTCTATCTCTATGCTAACCTGTTTACCCACAAGTTGGAAGAAATATGTGAAGTGTGCGTGCGCGCACGCACACACCGCGCCCCCCCCCACCTGCCGCAGTCTTCCATTTAAAATGCATTTTTCGAGCCCTGTGCTAATCATTTGAAAATGTGCCTATAGTAAAGGGTAAAGGCAGCGGCACAGGATTTGATCTTGCCGGGCATTGGGACTAGCGATGTGTCTGTCAGTCTGTTGGCTATGGGTGAAGTTAGTGGGAGCTGCAAGGTACTTCCCTGCAACTGTTGGGGCACTGCAGGGGCTGGGGGTCCCCATGGGGGTCCATCAGGGCAAGGCCTGGCAGCCAGGACTGTCCCACCGCCCCAGCCAGGAGCAGGGCAGCTGAGAGGCCCGTGGGCAGCCACGGCCCCAGGCATTGGGCACTGCCCTGGGGCTGTGGCCAGGCTGCAGGCCCGCAGGTGGGCCCAGCTCAGCAGGACCCACAGCCAGGCAGGGCTGGGCTGTGAGGAGGCAGAGATGGAGGTGATGGAGGGCAGGGGACCTGGGCCTTGAGTACCGCTCTGCACAGAGCAAAGCTCTTTGTAGCTGGGTTTGGTCTGTGCCTTGGGAATTGGCCTTCTGTGTCCTGCGCTCCTTGTGATGTGATTTCCAAACGTTGTCCATTGTTTTTGAGCATACAACAGGAAACAGAAGAATTGATGAGGTCACAGCAGGCTGCATGACATCATGTTTGCCAGGGGGAGTCCTGGCTGCACGGGGCACTGCCTGCTGCAAGTGTGGAGCAGTTGCTAGTGTCTTCAGCTCACCTCTCCAGCACAGCTTGGAGAAGGCAGAGAGAGGAGTCTGTCCTGGCCCCATCTGGGAAGTGACTGAGAGAAAGAATGCGACTCACCTAGGGCTGAGCAGGAAATCAAAATACAAAGCCAGCTTCTTTGGCTCTGAGTTCATGTCTTCGTGCCATGCTGCATCTGACGTGGTTGTGAACATGAGAGAGACAACGTGCCCCATATCAGCCAGGTCCTCAGAGGACTGTGCAGAGTGAGCTCCCGGTGCTGCTGTGACTGTACTTTTGTCTGTATCCCAGCTGCCATGCACCTTGTTTGTGAAGTGGCTGGAAAACACTACCCAGCCTCAGTTGCGGTGCGCTGCAGTTGGTGCAATCACAGGTGGCTGCGTGAGGTGCGCGGCACTGGGGAACCTGGCCCTGAAGTGATATGAGTCCCACAGAGCGTGAGTCAAGAGGCGTGACCCTGTCTGTATCAGAGTGCTTGGTGTCTATGTCAGGATTTCATAGTGAAATGAACAGGAATTTGTTTAACTCGGGATCGCCCGGTTTTGGCTGGATAGCTGTTGAGTGTGTTTTCCTTGCCTGGCTCACCCATTTCAAGAGGCTTTGAAGATCTGGCACTACTTCAAATGAAAGCGCTTCACAGTTATACAGCAGGGAATGGCCAGAGAACATCAGCCTACCAATGTGGCCTACTTTAGCTCTTTCCTATTTTAATGTAAAAGTACATTCAGAGAATTCACAGACCAGACTTGAAGCTCTCTGCGTAGTTCTCCTTAGTCCTTCAGGGTGTGATTTCCAGTAGTCTAGTTACAGGCGTGAGCATAAACAGAACTGCAAATAGCATCAGCTTTTGCCCACCACTATTTACAGGTAGAATTAAGAGCAAAAAATTTCCTTCTTGAAAATCTGTATTACAGAGCCAGAGCAGCAAAGGCTCTAAGCATTTGTTTTATATATTGGCGTATAAATACATACAGGGTTGGTCAAAACTGTCTTTGTGAAGATATTCCCAGCTAATTGTGAAGGTAGCCCAATCTTGTGGCCTGAGATACTTGTTACAAAGTGGGCTGTGCCTGCAAATGAATGTAGCAGAAGTCTCCTCCTTTGCTGTGGCAACGTTTGGCGGATGGAGAGCACCTTGTCCAAGTGTCCAGGCTGCTTGTGCAGGTGATCCATTCAGGCAGGGTTTGTGCTGCCCAGAGTGAGGAGTGCTGTTCATTTTGTTCTTGCTACTGTTCTAACCTTGCTGCATCGGAAGCTGTAGACATAGAGATACAGTGCTGAGTAGGAGAATTCAAATGGTAGAAGACCAGGACATCAAATTCTGTTTCTCATGAAAGCTCTCCGTAGTTAATATGTATTTTCACTTGAAAGAGTCCTGTTCCTTGGCGTGCATGGTGTAGAGCCAAAATCAACTACATGAGCTTATTAGACAACCTAACTGTACTTACTGTAGCAGTGGTACCAGTGATAGCTGTGTAGCTTCATATACCAAAAAAATCTGCAGCCTGCTGAGTGCTTTGCGGAAAGCAAATGTGTTTGTGCATGCATGAAGCTCAAAAGCTCAGTGCAGCTTGTTACTAGCATTGCCAGCTGAGCTCTCCAAACACAGCTTGGGAGCTAAAGATAAACTACCAAGGCACAGGCCCTCCCTGCTCTTGGTCAGCAGCAGCTCTGTGGTCAGAAGAGGTCCTGCCTCTGTAGTTGGTGAGAGCCTCTGTGTTGTGCTTTTTCAGATTCACAGTTAAAATTTCATCTGTAGGCTTGTGGCACTGATTTTAATTGAAACATGTAAAAAACCAAGCAGTTAATTGCAAATTTAAATTACAGTGCATTTTGTAATAGATGCAGTTATTTGCCCTTTGTTCATCTGCATGCATTATAGTCATAGAATTGAAATGTTTTGTATGTTTCCAGATCTAATCATAAAATACGTGCATTTTAAAATTTTATTTCAATGCATGTTTCTCTCGGTTCATATGTATACTATTTCATTCTTTTTATCTCATTTGAATAATTTTGACAGGAAATTGTGGTCTGTAAATATCTGTGTTTTATTTTTAAATAATCATAAATAATTAATCCATTTTCATTGGTTTCATGGAATAGTTCTGGATACATGTCTGCAGACCTGTCAGTGGAATTATTTTGATAAATCAAATTTCTTCATACCGTCTCAGGGACTTAATTTTTAAAGGTTTACCTGTGTGACAGTTTATGATGTTAAACTGTAACATCTGTGCACATAACCGTATTTTATATTATTTTTTAAACTAAGAAAAACAGCTTTTCCACATTTGATAGTAATAAACTAGCTAAAAACCTCATCTGCCAAGTTCTTCTCAGCTAAACGAAAGTCCCCAAGCTAATTTCTTAGACTGTCCTATATTTGGCTGAATACAAGGCTGGAGAAGTTCAGTGTAGAGGGCAGTCTTTCATTTTTAATGGGAAGTCAGAAGTGCATAAAAATAGCTTTATGGGTGGAATTCTTATTTAAGTCTAGTTTTTCCAGTAGAGATACACATTATGGTGTAGGTCGCTTCTCTTTTCAAGTTTGTCAGTCACAACACTTTGTTCGATTATCTGCCGCAGGGATCCCCCCCCTCCATCCAATGTTCCAGATACGTTAGCAATTGTATATTATTTCCAAAGAGCTCAAAGTCCTGAGAGCTGTTAGTGGCCTTCCCATCTTACAGAGCAGAAGTAATAAAAACAACCCTTTCCCCTCTAAGGTTACGAAATTATAAAAGCAACCTTTTTTTCCTTTTTAAGAGTACGAAACCACGCCTAATGATCTTGGAGACACCACAAATAACAGTAATCAAATCACTTCTACGGATGTATCCAACAAAGAGAATGAAGATAGCATCACTGTAAGTATATACATTGTTTCCTGATCTGTAATCTTGGCGAGCTTCCTGGCTATACAACTGCCAAAACCGTGGAGGTTGTAATAGGACCCTGAGCTACCAGAACACCAGAGCTATTACCGTATTGTGATCAAAACTCAGAAAAAAAGGAAAAAAAAAAAAAGAAAATCAATGCTCCCACTCTTGTCCTCTCCATTTTTTGAAGGAGTGAATCACTTTTCAGTCCAGGTAAAATTGCTAGTTATTTTGTTTCATGCTTTTCTGAACAACTAACTGTAATTTTTTAGCCTAAGACTTTGCTTCTAAGTTTAGCCAAGGAGAGCAATTCTTTATTTACAAAACAAAGCTATCTAAGGTAATTTGGATATTATTGTTTGAATTCCAGTCCTGGAGTCAGCTTCTCCTTACAGAGAGCATGTGCTGCAATGAACTTTGAAATTCTAATTGTATGTTTTTAAAACATGATTTCATGTAGGTATTTGATTGACTAATTTTCAGGTGATTTTAGTATAAGTAGCTGAACTGGTGGACCTCTTTCTTTGCTGCCTTGCCTCTCATGCTCTTCTGAACTGAATTTTTGGAAACTGGTAGCAGTTGACCAGCCTGATTGCTATTGCAGGCTCTCTGCATCAGTGACTCCGTAAAGCAGCAGGCAGTGGATAGCAAGTGTATTCGTGAACCGGAGAGCAGACTGTGAGTTGGGACACTGTACTAAAAAAATTGGCAGGATCCCAAACAGTCTTGTCTGGTCTGATAACAGAACCATTGGTTGGAAGGGAGCTCTGGAAATCCCCTGGTCCAATCCCTGCCAACTTGAAGCAGAGCCATCGTTGCTTTGTGTCCACTCTGATTTTGCTGTCTCCAAGGATGGACATTCCACAGCCACTCCTGGCAATCTGTACCAGTGTTGAGCCACCCTCACAGTAAAAATTTTTTTCTTATGTGCTTTTCTAACATGCCACTCTGCTGGAAGGGAAAGGGGTGATGTGCACTTCCTCCCGCCTGCCTTGAAAGTGTAGGATGTTGAAAAAGTTATTCTCAGAGGTGTCTGAATCTCTGTTCTCTGCAGGATAGAAGAAACCTCAACAAGTGGCTGTTTTTTGTACTCTTTGATCTCAGTGAAAATGTTTCCCGCTTGAAATGAATCTCTTTACCTAACTGGGTTAATCTGAATGTATGCTGAATATCTTTGAAGGTAGTTCATAAGAACAAAACAAGCAGATCTGTTTGTGTCCTCTTTTTTTAGGTGTATGTTGTGGTGGGAATTGCAGCACTGGTGTGTACTGGCTTAGTAATAATGCTCATTATTCTGAAGTTTGGAAGGCATTCTAAGTTTGGGATGAAAGGTAAGCAGGGCTGGTTTTTATAGCTTCCAGAATTATTGTGGGTTGTGTGAGCTGATACTATAGGCTTCTGCACTGAGAGCGTCAAAATAACTAAATTAAGTGCCATTGCATTTAGTGTTGTGCTTATTCATCAGGTAAGTAAGGGCAGAGGCAGATGTAGACAGAGTGTAGAATTTTGAATCAAACTCTTCTGTTTCTCTTTTTTTCTTACAACAAATCCCATTTCTCTCCCTTTTGCTGCAAAGCGCCCTGGGACACTTCCTGGAGTAAAATATTACTTGAGTCAGTGTAGACAGGAAGAAGATAGGAAATGGAATTTACTCTGTTAGAAGTTTGATTACAAGAATTTGAGGAGACCCTATGCTGTATGTAAGAGGTACTTCAGACCATACTACAATGTCATGTTAAGTGATAGATTCAAGGGTAACAGTGGTAAGAGTGAAAGGTGCATTTGCAGCGGCTCCTGTCATTATGGTGCTCTCTGACAGATGCATTTTCTTGAGCTTCTGTTTGTATCTTGGGAAGTAGCAGCTGGAGAGAATGGCAAGTGCGCATGTCTCTGTGGAAGGGGGAAGTCTCAACCCTTCCATTTATTCATTTATTTATTTTACTGCCAGATGGAGGTATGTATAACATGGCAGTACCTGCAACAACTCCGTTACCGTGTTATTTTACTGATATCATCAGTATGTGTCTGGTGGTGTGGGTGAAATTGTATTAAAGAAAAAGAAAAAGAAAGAAGTACTACTGTCTTGTTGGGAGGACTGGAATGTGCTTTGCTGTGTGCTAAAGGAGATGAGCTTTTGTTCTTAAGATGTGTAGATGAGGGTCTGTGGAGAGAGAGGTAAGTAATCCTTCATTAGGATCCTGTTAACTGCATGTGCTTCCTCTCAGCTGTGCTCATGACATAGTACCACATGAATGTATATTATGGTAACCCTTACTTGCTCTTGACAAGTGCTCTTTTCAAAGATACCTACTGTTTATTTGGTGTTTCTGTATTCTGTTTAGAGGAAAGTTCCTGGAAAAATGAGAATTGAGCAGAGCAGAAATGTGGTTGGTGCAGATAGGTTGCAGGGATGGTAAACTTTTCTCTTACCTCCTTCTGATATGATATAGTCTCTACTCTTTGGGGTAGCATTAAAGGAGGATGATCATTGTGAAGTATCCTGAATAGCAACATAGAACCAGCAGGATAGAGCTGCAGAGTTTTGGCCAGAGACTAGAAAAAACTTTCTGCGACTGAACAACAGTTCAGTGTAAATTTTGTGTCTGAAGCTTTTTGAATTGCATTTAGAGAGCTGAAGTAGGTGGAAGGTAAGTGAGAGCAATGAGGAGAAATGTCTGATGTCAGCTGTTTAAAGCTGAATGCTTGTTAGATTTTTCAAAATTCACATTAAATATTTCAACATGACATTATTGGAGGAACTAGGAAAACTCTGCCTTGAGGGAGAATGCATAAAGTTATATTTTGTGTGGTAACACGTTAAGTTACCTTCTAGGAAGCTTCTTACATGGTGGTTTTTTTTAGTATCTGCCAGGTACAACTTTTCTCACAAAAATAATGCTCTTTCCTGATCAGGAAGATTGACCTAAGTAGATTTTTGTTGTAGAATTGTCCATGTAGATTGTATTTTAGTAAGGATACAGTTTTGGGGAAATGACTATACGAAATTATGAAAAAGCAGCAACCTCATATATGGTGTTTATTTTGTTGTTTAAATTTGACCAGTGATGGTTAGGATCAGTAAAAAGGGTTTACAGTTCAGGTATACTTCCTCAAAAACTAATCACAGGCGTGGTATGTGTGGTAATCGTAACATGTCACTGTGAGCTACAAACGACTCCTGAATGTTTCATTAGAAAGGAGTGACCTTCAGTTGTCCCTGAAGTGAAGCTCAGACTTCTCCAAAGTTTGCATTTGCACCTGAGTTTCACAGTTGGATCTATCCATAGTCCAAAGTCCCAGAAACACTCTCTCCATTTATCATCATCAGTGTCATTATTAAAACAGTATTTAAAGACTGAGTTAGTATGTAATACCCAGACTAATAATAAAATATTACCTGCTCTGAAAAGCCTGCAGCATAGATGTACATTGAGAATTCATAAATGAAGATAAACAACCTGCAGTATTTGAGCATGAGGAAAATAAAACAAAGGTGAAGTCAGTATTGATCAGTACAATATATGTAAAATGTGTATCTTGGAAATTCTGAATAAACAGATCAAGCCAGCTACCTGTAAACTCCTTGAGTCATTTGCCATTGAATTCAGTGACAGCAAAATTACTCCCAGCTTAGTATACAGACATGGTGTTATATTTGGTGGTTTAATAAATAGTCTTAGTAGGGAAGTGGGAAGGAGTAAAATACCCAGATTGCCATTGAAAATATTTATAAAACAAGATAAAAGAATTTTCTTTTCAAATCTTCCACAGTATATTAATGAATATTTTGCATTCACAAGAAGGAACTTCCTGAGTTACGTCTGGCAGAAACACACAAAATGCTGTGCTTCATTTTTCTGTTGTCTTGTGAGAACACAATGCCATCACCTCAGACACCCTGTTATTAAATGTCTCCTGACCCTTCTTCAGCAAGCAGTTGGGAAAAAAAAAATAGTCACTCAGTAACTGGAACAGTCAAACTGGCACTCAATGGTATTTTTCATGTAACCCTATACATGGAAAAAAGGTTCCACTGAAAATCAGAAAAAGAAATATATAAACAGGCAATCAGCACTGTGTGTCCCATTAGAAATGTCTTTGTGTAAGGGATGAAATTTTCACCCCATTTGGGGTTCACGGCAGGCATCTGAAGCTTCTTGAAGACATTGTTTTATGCCTCATATTTTTAAATGCCAGTTTATCCCATCTTTTTCACGGGCATCATCTGCCCACTTCTTAGACTGTGTCCTTGCTGAGTCCTTCTGCTCTTAAAGAGCTTGAGCAAGGTTGGAGTGTGGGACTGAGAGTGATAGTGTCCCTAGAAAGAGACATGGAGCGGGTGGTTGTGTCTGAGCTGTGCTGCAGCAGAGCTGCCCATGCTGGGAAGCACTGCAGATGCTGAAAAGCCACAGAGACTGCCACAAAGCTCACATGCTCCTGTTGTCTTCTCTCTGTTCCTGTACTGAGCAGAAAAAAGTCCAGTTTATGTGATAGGGAGAACCAGGTTGTCTGGGAGCTTCCAGTACTTTGGCAGCACTGAACAATCTTTTTTCAAGATCTGTTGAAGAGCTGGATAAAAGTAACTTACCCTATCTTTTGGCTTTTCTCTTAATTTTGTGTATCTAAGGTGAGAGGGCAGCTTGGGATATGTTCATTTCACTCAGTTACCTTTCCAAATTGTAGAAATAAGAGTGTTTTTGCAGGTAAGAAAGACAAGCAAAGCACTCCTTCATTGTCGGTAACAAAACAAAAACATTTCGTTTGTGATGTTCTGTATTCTAGTTGAAGTTGGGTTGCACCATGTGAAGCTCTTGTTTTAATTCTTGACTTGCTTCTTTTCACTGTGTCTTTTAGGGAAAATAGCAGGTTCTGATGATTAACTTCAGGAACACTATTAGTACAAAACTAGTCTGTGATGTGTGCTAGAAGAGGCTTAAAATAGGGTTAATACAAAAAACCAATATTGTTCTTTCTGCTCTGTGGATAACCTGATGATGTGCTAGACTTCCAGACTTTCCTTGCATGGTGAAACAATTCCATTTCTCCGGTTGTGAACATTTAAAAAATCTTCTCATACAGGATCTGTTGATGACAACTTTGTGTGAAAAGTGGCTTTTGGTTGCTTGAGTCTGGAGGTGAGGTTTTTAGACCCTTGCAAGATGCTGCAGCATAAATGGTGACAGTTTCAGTTAATTTCTTAAATATATTCATTAAGATTTGTGGGTTGCTCTTATGAAACACCTTGGCTTGCTTGCTTGCTGGAGGATGTGAAAGTATTTGTGGTGGGAATTCACTGAAGGCTGCCAAGACAGCTCTTACCATTTTGTGTGTATTTCTGACTCCATCTAACCAGCTTATGAAAGTGAAAAATAATAAGGGAACTGGAGTAGAGAGGGCAGGGGAAGATTTGTGAAATCCCTGAGATCTAGTCCTGTTTTATTCTACCTCTGGTGTTGAAAAATAAATATAAATAAACAACTAGTTGCAGCATAACCAAAGTGATACACAGTTTGCAAATGTTAACATAGCAGCATGCCACTAAGCATAAATAGAAGTATGGAGGAAACTGATGGAAGACAAATCAATGGATAAAGTTGAAATAGCATAATTCAGTTAAAAGGATGAAAACATTTTTGCTGATTTGAACCGTAGTAAGTTTTAGCACAGGGTGTCCCTATTCCAGCATCAAGGCAAAATCCTTAGTGTTTCTTGCTTGCTATGAAAGCTGGAAGTAAATGGTTACGGTCAAGAGTATTATGACAGCTGCTTTACTGTAAAGATAAACAAAGTTTCGGTAGGTTTTACCAAAACCAGAAAGGAGAGAGACCCACTTGTCCCCAAAGCAGCCCCTTCTGTCTTTTAAGAAGTTAACAATTAGAATCTGACAGAAGTGGAGGGAAACATATGTGTACTTAATCCCTTTCGGGGTGAGAGGGTTTTTTTGAATGTTTGTATGAAGTTTCTGTCAGTGCTTTGAGCTGTGTGCAGTAGTGCAAAGGTAAGGCAACAAACTGTCTGAAATTCCCATCTTTCTTAGGCAGGGCCAGCTATCTTCCTGTGTCTGTGGGCTTGGCTGTCATGCTTTGAAAGGTGCTTCTCCTTCCCCAAGTGCTCTCTGAACTATCTACCATGTCTAAACATAAGTCCTAACTATTAATGCCTTGCCTCTTTTGCGGTCTTTCAAGTTGGTACAGAAATTTGTCTTTCTCTATTCAGGTGATGAGATCATGTGAGTTGATTTAAGAAAGAAAACAGTGTCCCTTTTAGGACAAACACCAAAACCCACTACCTTTCCTTCAAGCCCTTGGCTAGCTGCTTGGCTTCATTTTTG